TGGTATGTGGGCCTCTCACTGTTGTGGCCTCTCCCGTTGCGGAGCACAGGCTCTGGACGTGCAGGCTCAACGGCCATGGCTCACGGGCCCAGCCACTCCACGGCATGTGGGATCTTCCCGGACCGGGGCACAAACCTGTGGCCCATGCATCGGCAGGTGGACTCTCAACCACTGCGCCACCAGGGAAGCCCAGGGAATTTTAAAAGTGAAGGAGAAAAAATAAGATGATCAAATTTATATCTGAAGGTTAGCCATCTTTCCTGAGAATCAATGTTAAGAGCCAACTGCTTACTACACGTTACCATCTAGTGTCCTACAGGTAAACTCAAATTCATGAAGTCGACACACACCCATGATATCTTCCTCCTGAATCCCCTACTAAACACCTTGCCATCCAGATAAAATAACTGGTTACTATCCTATACTCCTCATTCTCCTCCAGTTTTCTAAATCTACTTGCTCACTAGGTCATTTCTGAGTTAAAAAAATAACACTACCTACTGTAAAAATTTAAACAGTAGTGAAGTATACAGAGTAAAAAGGGAAGAGAAACACAGAGGATTGGACCTGACATTTTATGCCAGTTGATTTCCCCCAGGCATTTATTTGCTGATTCTCAAACTGGCAGGGCAAGAGGCCAAGAAATCTAACCAAAGGACACTGGAAGGTTAAGCGGAACTCAGCAGACTCACTTTGATAGTGGATAAAAATTGGGAATACAGGACATGCCAAGTAGGAGGTGTTCTTATAAACACCCCACAATTTCAAGGTAAACATTAAAAGGCTATATTACCCTCAGAATAAAAACGAAATATGTGTGAACCAAGTCTAAAAAAAGTCTGAAATGCAATCTCAAGTCAGGTCAGCCTTTTAGTGAATTAAGTTATCTACTCCTAATCTAGCTGCCAACGAGAAGAGAAAAGAGGGTGAATCCTGTCTGGAGAATGACAACCTCATCCAGAGACTATAACTTTTCATGCACAATGTCCAGTGTTCACATAAAAAACTACCAGAATCATTAGAGTCATAGACATTAATATAAATTTACACACCCACACAGATGGATAGACCAGAAACAGTTATAGAATGTGTGTATACATGGATTAGTAAACATATATATATATATCTCACATATACATACATATATAACATAGCTCTGTTCTCTGAGAGGACCCAGGACAATGATACTCCAGTATCAATAGGCATACCTAGATCATGGTTTGTAGATAGCATTCTACAAATAAAAGGAACCAGTGCTCCTTTGAGAAATGGCTGATTCTAGGGCTAGGGCAGGGAAAATACAAGATGAGCCAGGAGCATGTTATAGCACCAGAAAGTAAGCAAGAACTCAAGAAACAAAACACTGGGAACAGGTCAAAGAACATAGGAGCCAACGTGAAAGTGTTCCCAAGGCCAAATAAATATACATGCGTCCATACTGATATAAATAAATATGGTAGAAGAGAGAAATCTTCCTTATGGGAGAATTTCAAATAATATATGTAGATTTTCTCCCCTCAGGATGTGGAGTTTAATCCCCACATCCCACTCCTAGAAGAGGCTGGACCTGTTGACTTGCTTCCAAGGAACAGAGTATGGGAAGGGAAAAATAGTAACCACAGTGGAGAAACCTGGAAAAAACTACTTTAACCTAAGTTTTCTTAACCTCAGTACTATTGACATTTGGGGCCAGATAATTCTTTGTTGTGGATGGGGGCTATTTTTTCCGCTTATAGGATTTTAAGTATCATTCCTGGCCTTTCTCCACTAAATACCAGTAGCTATCCTCCCCCTGTCCTGCCAGTTACAACAACCAAAAATAGACATTGCTAAATGTCCCCTGAGGGCAAAAATTACACCTGCCAGAGAAGCACTGCCTAAAGTTTAACAGCACCAGTGATGTGTGGATATCATGAACCACTTGGTATGATGTAATAAGAAGGTCATTTCAGCTCTGTATATTCTTTCCAAAAACGTATAATCTCAAAATAACTAAAGTCAGAAATGAAAGAAAGCACATTACTGTGACTATTATAGAAATAAAAAGGATTATAAGAGAGCACTAGGAACAGTTGTACACCAACAAATTGGATAAACTGGACAAATTCCTAGAATCATGCAACCTACCAAGTGAATCATCAAAAAATAGGAAACCTGAATAGAACTATAGCTAGTAAGGAGATTCCCAACAAAGAAAAGCCCAGGACCAGATGGCTCCACTGGTGAATTCTACCAAACATTTAAAGAAGAAACACCAATCCTTCTCAAACTCCTTCAAAAAATTAAAGAGGAGAGAATGCTTTCAAACTCATTTTATGAGGCCAGAATTAACCTGACACCAAAGCCAGACAAAGACACTACAAGAAAAGAAATCTACAGACCAGTATCTCCTATAAATATTGATGCAAAAACCCTCAACAAAATATTACCAAACAGGGCTTCTCTGGAGGCGCAGTGGTTG